TCCTGTCAGATCATCTATGGAAAACAATTTTTCCATGGATGTTTTGGAGGGCATGGGAGAGGAGCGGGGGGAAGAGGAAGGAGATAGGGATGTGGTGGAGGTGTTCATCAGGCACTAGATTCCTGTAAGAGCACCGACCCTACTGTGAACTGCTCAAGCAAGGAATCTAGGCTGTGTACTCCTTATGAGAATCTAATGCCTCTTGATGCCACAACACCATCTGTAGAAAAATTACCTTTCACAAAACCAGTCCCTGATGCCAAAAGGGTTGGGGACTGCTGCACTAAGGGACTTCCTATGGTTTAAACTTAGTACAAATATTTAACTTCTTTAAGCAACGTATACTTTGAAAAAAAGAAACACTTTAAAAAGAGAGTGACAGGTCAATCTTTCTTGCTATAGCTGAAATACTATTAATCCACTATTCTGGGAAATAGTCTGTGTAACTCAAAGCACATACCTTGCAAATTTGTGCTGACTCAATACAAGTACGTTGCCTCGGATTTCTGCTACAATTTTGCTTTTATCCTCAGGACGACCATGCTCCAATACATGCTGGATGACATAATTTCCATATTGATCCTGTTTGAGAAGCAACAATAACATTTCTATGTAAAAACCAGTTCTGTGGGTTACCTAACTCCTTACATCTAATTAACACCCATCTTTCTTTTAGCACCATGATGGCTTACATGAATACTAATGAACACACAAAATGGACAGAAAAACATTTTTTCCCTATTATTACAAAATAGGAGCAGATTATTACTAGACAAGATAATATCTGTACATGTCTATTTATGTCCAAAAGGCCTAGTTGAGCTCATCATAAATTACTGTATACAAAAAAGTAGGCCCATGTGCATTATTAAAAAGGGAGAAGCTATTATGGGAGTAAAGAGTTATTTTTCTAAAAACATGTGCAGATGGCTTACTGCACCTATCTATATGAAAAAAACGGGCAACAATCATGTCAAACAAAACAGGCACACCTACTTAATCAATGGTAGAAGCAGAGAAAGTAGCACAGCCAAAAAAAGAATTCAGCCAATCCACTTAGTTCATTTGATAATGACGAAATTGAGACCAGAGGGATTAAATGTCTATCTGAGATGACACCACTAGTCTACAACAGAGTTCTGGAAGGCAGATCTCCTGACTCCAAGGCCAGTGCTCTCTTTACTCCCAGTATTCAAAAAACACAAACCAGGATGCTCTAAATGAAAATAATGCCCCAAAGACTCAATGAGCATTTTAAACACATTAACCTCTTCCGGAACCTATGCTGACACAACAACACACAAACTATGGGCCTCCATGAGCCCACAGGTGTTTGTGGTTCCTCTACTGGCAACTCTACTACCTGTACAAGTTGCTCTGTGTGCTGGTGAAGCTCCTCTAAAATAGGGAGTGTCTGGTCAGGGAGACAGTGCTCCAGAATTCTCTGAATCACTCGGCAGCCATAAGGATGTGTGGACAAAGCAAACACCTAGGGCAGACCAACACAAATAAGAAAAGCAAAAACAATAATAGTCAGGACTTTCAGTGCTTCAGTATTATGATTTTATCTCCCTGATCTTCATAAACAGACTAATTTAACTTCTCTTTATAAATGATAAGAGGGGTGTGTGTGTGTGTGTGTGTGTGCGTGTGTATAAATAAATCCATTACATAACTCTCTTAGGAATTCACAGACATGCATAAAGTCAAAGTTGAAAGGGATTTTTTCCAAGAAGCCTAGAAAGGAACAGAGAATTACTCAACATCACGACAAACACACTTAAATTTAAGTGTCAAGAGTGTCTACTGCCAGCCTCTCCAAAGGATAGAGTTAAAAATAGAAAAAGGACTAGGATCAAATCCTACATGCTTTCACATGGCCACAAAGATTACAAATGTAGTATTCTGAATCTGTGTTTCTCAGCAATAAAAAAAGATTCCTCTTTTGTTAGGTTTGGAGCCACAGAAAAGCACATAGGCTTTAGATTGACACCACCCTGATTCTGCCTTTCTGTGCTGAATGACATACACCTCAGATCTTTAATTAATCAAGAACAATAATGAGGATAAGAGCAACAACAGCTGCTGACACAGGATGCTTACCAAGTGTCAGTCATTGCAGTAAGTGCTTTATGTATGATTTCATACATGTAGCCTTATGTTTACAACTGTATACTTCAACAGTATACTATCTCTGGATATGTGGCCACTTTTAATACAGTTCAAACCAACCTGATTCACATCCCCTTCAAAATAATTTAAGCAAGAAGCACTTTGTTATTTTAAAGATATATTCACACATGATGTTCAACTTTAGTTTTATAAATGAATTAGTTTTATAAATGAATTTTTAATAAGTGATAAGAGCTTTTGAATATCAGGATAGTACTTAACCAAAGGAAAATATTTATTCTTCAAATATGAGATTTTATCTTAACAACTCTGATGACAGTGTTTCATTTCAATGTGAGCAGATATCTGAATTAATGATGAAGAGAAGGCCCCCGACAGGTAAGGGAAGAGAATGGGCAATGCAGAGCTAGGTACTTGACAGCACCATGCATGACTGCTTTTGACTGCAGTCTAAAATACATTAAGCACATAGAGAACATGTCATACATCCTATCCTGTTTGCTACTCACAGAGGAAAGAATCATCAATTTGTTTCCATTATTTCCTTCCTATGTTACTTACCTGTCCCTTAAACGCATCGATGATGAACTGCAAAGACTGGGGTTGTACGCATTCGATGCATTTCTGAACCAC